TGTGTGTTTGTGTGGTGTGTATGTGTGGTGTGCGTGGTGTGTGTGTTTGTGTGGTGTGTGTGGTATGTTTGTGGTGTATGGTGTGTGTGTGTGTGGTATGTGTGTGTGTGTGTGTGGTGTGTGTGTGGTGTGTGTGGTGTGTGTGTGTGTGGTGTGTGTGTGTTTGCATGGTGGGGGGGGTGCGCGCGTGCGCACGCACGTACACACAATACTGGGAGTTAAACCTAGATCCTCACACATGCTAGCTAAGCATTAACTCTGGGCTATATCCCCAACCCTCTTTTCACTTTTCATTTTGAGACAGGGCCCTGACTTTCACTGTGTAACCCAGGCTGGACAAGGTAATTCGGTCCTCTTGTGTCAGTCCCTCAAATAGCCGGAATTATAGACCGATGTCCCCAAGCCATGTCCATTTCTTCCTTGCTTTAATGTGGAGTTTTCCTATTTGTTATCCAATCATATTTCCAGTAAGAACATGACAAGAGCACCAACGAAAGCTCCAGATAGCCTGTCCGGCAACTAAGCATAATAGTCAAGCTTTGCTGATATCATAGGCCAGGGAGCTCCACGATCTAAAGTGTTTTCCCAGATAGCAAGAGTTTATTTCTTTAAAAAGCATAGCTTTGTATTAAGCTTCCTACAGTTTCCACACATATTTTCCTCCATCCTTAAATAGCAGTGATAAACTGGAGAGCACTAACTAGTGTTTATTTTGCAATAATGACTCCCGGGATTGCTGAGATAAATGATCCCAGGCAACTGGGCCTTCGCCATTCATGTCAGCTCTAGAGTCTTTCTGTCTCTTCCTTTAATGCTGGCCACCCCTCACTGTCATTGGTGTGACCCGTCTACATCAGTTTTCATTTTGTTGTTTCTACATAAAAACGGGCTTAGAAACAAAAGCAACAGGCTTGTTGGAATTGCGTGCTAAATACCAGTAACTAGATTGTAAGCAAGTGTCTGAGGGCCTCTTCCTTGGGAGATCCATGAAACTGGAGTCTATTTCTTTAACTCAACAATAATTTACCAAACATACACTGTACTATGTGTTGGAGACACAAGATAAAACATAACAAAAAAAAAAAAAAAAGGCATCATGGCGCATGGCCATCTCCCAGTGCCAGAAAGGCTTACAGAGTTCAGGGCTACCCTAGGCTATATGAGCTCAGAGTAGCCTGAACTATATAAAGGGACCTTGTCTCAAGAAAAACAAAACCGCCGGGTGGTGGTGGTGGCGGCGGCGGCGGCAGCGGCGGCGGCAGCGGCGGCGGCGGCGGCGGCGGCGGCGGCGCACGCCTTTAATCCCAGCACTTGGGAGGCAGAGGCAGGCGGATCTCTGTGAGTTCGAGGCCAGCCTGGGCTACAGAATGAGTTTCAGGAAAGGTGCAAAGCTGCACAGAGAAACCCTGTCTCGAAAAAAGAAAAGAAAAGAAAAACAAAGCCGATTGAAAACCTTTCACGGCCTTTGCATTGGAATGAGATCGCGGTAAACCGGTGAAATCCGTTCTTTACTCAAACACCATTTCTGCTCACTTACCGACTTCTGCGTTCCACTGGAACAAGGTCAGGAGATCCATTCCCCACAGAGGACTCGCCTGTCCCGTTAGCAGTAAATATCCTGTGTCTGCAGTCTGTTAACACACAGTAGGGTAGGTAGTTTCATAATTCTAGCACACTGTGGATTCAACAGGCTACGGTGGGCTGCTCTGGAAAGCTAGTCACCATCTGCACCGCTGTTTCCATAGAGGAAAACGTTCCAGACAACTGACTTCCCAGTGAACTTTAAGAATAGGACTCATTTGCAAGTTCAGGGCTGCCTGCGCTTCTCCATAAACGCTGCACATAGTGAGGCCATGATTGACCTATGGCTTAGAAATGAGGATGCTGGGATACCAGCCAACACCCTGCAGTAGCATGGACACCTTGAGTAAACAAATGCATCTCTGTGAACTTCAGTTCCAATCCTTATAAAAATGGTTCTGATATGACCTCATTAAACAGACCAGTTCTCCTTCAAAGATTTGTATTTATTCTTTGACAGTTTCATACCTATAGCCAACTTAGCTTGATCGTATCCACCCCAACCTCACCCTTCCTACTCTCTCGGGACACCCCCTCCAAAATACGTCCTTATATCTTCACGTTCTTTCCTTTTTTTAATAACCCATTAAGTCCAATTAATGCTGCTTGCATAAGCATTAGCAAGCTACCAGTGGACAGCCACCTACCCACCCAAAGGACCTCCTCCTTCCCGACAGCCATCACTTACCAGGAGCTCCTCAACTAGGGGCAGAGCCTCATGACCCACCCTCCCCAATCCATGCTGGAATTATTGACTGGTTTGATCTTGTAAACACTGCTTCTGTTGCTGAAAAGAATCAATAAGTTCTCTTCAAATGAATCAATAAGTGAATGAAGAAACCTTGCTCACACTCCCACTGCCTCTTGGGTGTTGTCCAAAAAAACGAAGCACATTTCCCTGAGGCTTGTTTTGTTTTTCACCATGGCTTCTGACCCAAATCTAAACATCTGGGAAAGAAATAGGATGATTATCTTCATCCACTCTTGGGATCTCAACTGGGAATTCAAACTTCAACAGGACCCAAGAGAAGGACTTGCTCATGTGAGCCCATCTGGTAGACCACTGGGGCTGGGAATGGGTGACAAAAGATGACCAGTAGACACTTGTTTAGTGGAAGAAGAGGGAAATGTGACACTTGAGAAAAAAATCCAACCCAAACATGGGCGTTGCACATAATCACTCCCTTCCTCCCCAGGGCCAGCACAAGTCTTCGTCTAGACCTGTGGAAGAGACAGCCTCCCCTGGCTCCCTTGGAGGCAGTGCTGGCACAGGATGGCCCTGTTGGAAGATGGCTGGCCTGTGTGTTCCTATGCCAGGCTGCTGGCAAAGCCCCTAACCCTCAATATAAAGATGGCATTTGCCCCCAAGATGATCTTTCTCCCGCCTCCCTCTCTTCAGACACCTACCTCTCACCCCTTCCCCCATGGAATATGCTTCAGGTGAAGGCAAATACACAAGGTTTTTCTTCCTATAGTAACATTAATGGGAGCCTCGGAGACCAAAGTCCAGTAGACCCAGGAGCTGTCACCACATGCCTGGGAAGGAAGATTGATGTTGAGGGCCAGGATGTGAACATACCCATGAATTGTCCTTTTGTGCCAAGGTAAACTGGATGGGGAAAGCATGTGTCAAGGAGGCAGAGCCTGGCTTGGCTGAGATCCCCAGAGCACCTGGGGAAGGGGGCCCTCCCTTAAATTCCAGTAACTTAGAAAGCCATCCGAGCTATGACTCTTCCCGGCTTTCCTGCGTAAGAATAACTAATGCAGCTGAGGACTTCATGTGCCTGGCATCCTACCTGGGCTCTCATTTAACTTTGCAAAGCTTTATAAGGTCAACACAGCGGTTCTCTCACTTCAGACACGAATAACGTGAGGCCTAAAGGGGCCAGCGTGTCCAGGGCTGCACAGCTCAGAATGTAGATGTAAGCAGGAAGTATTCGCAGCAAATCGCATCGTACGGAACTCACAGGCAGGACTCAGGAAACCTCAAGTGAGAACGGCAACTGTACCAGCCGACTTCCCATCGCTACAACAAATACCTCAGCCCGTCGTCGTCAACTCATGAACAGGAAAGCTTTGTTCAGGCTCACAGTTGGGAGATTCCAGGCTATGATGACTTGGCCTTGGGGTAAGGCAGCACATAAGTTCCCACAATTACTTTCAGGGGTATCATCCCAATGATGTCAAACCTCCCCCTAGGCCCCGCCACTTAAAGGATCACTACCTCCTAAGAGGGCCACTGTGGGGGCCAAGCCTTTAACACGCTGACCTCTAGGAGATTATCAAGATGGGAACCGCAACAGTGACGTATTCCCCTCTGTTCCCCTCCTGACATCGGCCAACATGCAAGAACAGGACTGTAGAGAGTTTCACAGATAAGTGTGTCCTTCTGTGTCACATGAGAGAGAGAGGTCCCCAGGAGCCTCCAAGAGGACCATGAGCAAAGGAACTCAAGGGTTCTGTCTGCCTTTGGGTTTAAAGATCTCAGTGGCAACCATTTGTAAAAACGTGTGTTTCTTTTTTTCCTTTTATTTTAAATCATTCATTCATTCATTCATTTATTCTCTCATATATTACGTCCTGACAGAAGTCTCCCCTCCCTCCTCTCCTCCGAGTTCCTCTCTCTACTCCCCTTCTCCCCCAGATCCACTCCTCCTGATGTGTATTTCTTTCTGTCTTGTTCTGTGCATCCGTAACTATAACCAGGGATCCATGCACATGTTTACGCTCTGCCCGACTCACTCACCATCACCAATGTTACTTCATGACCATGCTCCATATTTCCGGAAGAAGATGAGGCATGCCGGTCAAGACTATGATGTGAGGTTCAAATGCCTCTGGCATTGAGTGGCCTACTGATTCCCTTGGCCTGTGTGTGTGTGTGTGTGTGTGTGTGTGTGTGTGTGTGTGTGTGTGTGTGTGTGTGTATACAACTATTCATTGGCCTGTGTGTGTGTGTGTTGATGTGTGCACAACTATTCATTGGCCTGTGTGTGTGTGTGTGTGTGTGTGTGTGTGTGTGTGTGTGTACAACTATTCATTGGCCTGTGTGTGTGTATACAACTATTCATTGGCCTGTGTGTGTTTGTTTGTGTGTACAACTATTCATTGGCCTGTGTGTATATACAACTATTCATTGGCATGTGTGTGTGTGTACACAACTATTCACATACGTGCAGGTTCATAGCTGTGTTCTCGGGAGCCATTCTGTAGGTACCACCTGCCTTTTTTTCTCTCTAGTTCTTAATTTTTTAGACTTCATTTTATTTTTGAGATGAGATTTCTTAACTGACCTAGAACTTGCCAAGCAGACTCTGCGGTGGGCCAGAGAGCCCCAGGATCTTCTTGTCTCTGCGTCCTCAGCACTGTGACTATAAGAGCGCACCACCAAACCCCACCTTTTTTTTTTTTAATGTTTGTTTTGGGTGTCAAACTTGTGCTCCTGCTTTGTCTGTCGATCACTCTATCAGCTGTGTGACCTATTGCTCCAGACAGCAATTCTTTTTTTTTTTTTTTTTTTGGTTTTTCGAGACAGGGTTTCTCTGTGTAGCTTTGCACCTTTCCTGGAACTCACTTGGTAGCCCAGGCTGGCCTCGAACTCACAGAGATCCGCCTGGCTCTGCCTCCCGAGTGCTGGGATTAAAGGCGTGCACCACCACCGCCCGGCTTTCCAGACAGCAATTCTATAGTACCGTTTTTTTCAATTTACTGAGGTCCGATTGCCAAATTTATTGGTAAAATGCAATTATAAATTACACTTGACAGGTGAGGAGCTAGATTTTGAGAGAGGAGACCCATCTGAGAGTAGATGGAGTTTCGAGTCCCCCAAACGAGGCCTTCCAACAAGTGGTGGCCCAGAGAAACTGCCATCTTACCCACGGGTATGGCTTACTTCTCTCGTGCCTGTAACCAAATACCTGACATTAAAAAGGGCGGGGGATTTCTCTTGACTCACATTTCAGAGAGTCTTGTCCATGATCTCTGGGTCCCATGTTTCTGGGCTTGCTGTTAAGACAGAATATCACGGTAGCAGGAGTTTGTGGTTCAGGAGCTTCATGATGGTCACAGGGTAGAAAAATAGGCACAAAGACAGAAGTTGGTGACCCCAAAGGCACCCCCAGAGACCCACAGCCTCCAATAGCCCCCACTTCTCACTCTTTACTACTTTCCAAAAATGTCACAGTCTGACTCCGTCAAGGGTTAAACCCATTCAACATGTCGGGGCCCTCAGGATCCAGCGCTCTATGGAGATGCTTGTGCAGACACACCCCAGGATGCGCCTCCGTGATCTCAGGCACTTATTAATCCAATCGAGTGGACGATCAAAATTAGTCCTCACCACTAGGAAGGGAGGGCCAGGCATGATGGAGGCTGACCCAGGTGGTCATCCGTTTGTAATCACCCTGACAGGAGTGTGAATTCCTCCCACCTCCCACCAGGGACTTCAGTAGCGTGCAAGGTACTCAAGCTTCGGAATCTTTGCCCAGATGTCACTCTAAGGACATTTGTCACCTTTCGAGAGGTAACAAAAGCTATCCGTATGCCTAGTTTTATAAGTATGAATTTTCTTCTGTTGGATAGGGAACAACTCTTTCTTTACATGATCACCAACACAGAGATTACCAGTACAGCCAGGCCCGGTACCCAGGGAATTCCCTGCTGTATTTTGGTCACACTGTGACCTACATTCATGCACTCACATAGGAAGTGTGAGTACCACTGAGCTTCCCCAGGTCCACCCTGACTCCCATATACAACCCCAGAAGACAAGCTGCTCAGGCTGCTTACGCAGTAGCAGCATATACAAGACAGACATCTCAGGCCATATCCTCACATGGATCCTCACCTCAGTCACCGGCAGCAGCATCCAGCTCCTGCCAAGGGAAGGTATGGACCTTGAAGGGGTGGCACAGTTTCTCACCAAAGTTTGAAAGGAATTGGGGGAGCAGACGGTCAAAAAAGGCAGGGACCCCAAGAGAAGTGGGAGAGAGAAGACTGGAAAGCAGTGCTAAGGGCCCCAAGTGTGATATGGGTGTGACGTTGGCCCAGGCAGTCGTCTTCCAGAGGCTTGACTCTGGCTAGCCAGTTCACAGGCCACTATCAAAGGCTCTAAGGGACAGGCGCTTCGTGCTGGGGCTCAGCTCTGCCTCCTGTGCCAGCAAGAGGCCTTTGGAAGTCAGGTAGGTGCAGATAAGAGGAAAGAACTGCTGTGCCTATGGCAAGCCAAGCAAACTTTATCTACAGAGCAACAGGCCCCTGCTGTGAAGCTCAGAGCCTCCACCACCTCCAGCCTGGCCCCCTGCCCTTTCCAGCGAGCAGGGGGCCACGGTGGTCACAGGAGGCAAGACTAGCTCTGCTGGAATCTGTGAAATGTCAGGCCCTCCTCGGGTGGTATTTCCCCTCCCTCTCTTTCCCCCCAACTCCTTTCCAGAAACAGGGGCCTGTGCCTCCACACCTCGGTTACACATATTGGTTCTGACAGCTCAAATTAATATGTCAGATGCCGCGATCCTGGCTGGCGACAGGCCTTTTGACCCTATCAGCTCAATCTGCTTCCCTGATTGAAAATCTCTGTGCCTCAAATTGATTCAGAGTTTCATAAACATCCCGCAGCCATGATCCAAGGAAGCCACAGATGAAAGAGGCCTAGGAAAGCCGAGTTTTCCCTTCTCTCCTTAATCCCCCAAGTCACAGGGCCTGGCATCGGGGCAGGACACACACACAGGGGGTTGGAAGGAAGCCCTAACCCGATCAACTAGGAGTCCCAGAGACCCCAAACCAGCTGTGTCCCCGACAAGTCACACACTCTGCCGGCACCCTAACATGACTGAAAAGGACTTAGCGACGCGCACACCATTAGGTACTAGAAGGCCTGAGGGAGATGGCTCTGCCACCCCTCGATCTACGACCTTGGAAATTTTCTTGGCCTCTCTGAAACAGGGTTGGTCTTTGAAAAAAAAAAGAGAGTAATCATAACCATCTGGTAAAACTCAACAGGGCTGTTCTAAGAGGAGAGAGAGGGGAGGCATGAGGAGAGACATTCAGAGAATGTTGAGTGAGTATAACAATGCACTGAGGAGAGGTGGAGAGAACACGCTGGAATGCTGATCGTCGAGGACCTGGGAAATGGGTACATGGGAAGCTACTGGACGCTCATCTCTAATTTGATCTGTTTAAATTTTCTTTCCAACTTCATTTTTTTTTAAAGTGGCATCGGCTCATAAAGTACGTGTGTGTGTGTGTGTGTGTGTGTGTGTGTGTGTGTGTGTGTGTGTGTGTGTTCTCTGTAGAGAAGTACCTGCAGTAGGGCAGATGTAGGGGTATCTGTCTGTCCATCTATCTTCTGTGTGTCCATGTGTTCCATGGGAAAGGTCCTACAATGGAGAAGAGACAGAGTTCCCAATGGGTACCTGTCTACAAAGTATCTTGCATGCAGTATCCATGCAACTTTTTCCGACAGGCCCAGCATCCTCCCTAGTCCTTGAGGCGGGCGCTGATGTGACAGGGTGGTGACTGGTCCATTTTCCTGCAGGCTGCAGGGACAGTCTGTGCTATGAGACCTCAGGCCCTGACACCCAGAACACACTGAGCGAACCCACGCCTTGCAACCACCTCCCCCTGCCACTAGGCTAGGAAAACTTCCAGCACCTTCCACCCTGCTGGTCCTTCTCTAGAATATAAGCTTGGGGCCATCACCCACAGAAGTTGTCCAAGCAGTGCCAGTGAATGAAGGATGCCAGCATCCGAGGTGCCTCTGCAGGCCCAGGGGAGGCTTTGGCTCTGTTTCACAGGGCACAGGCAGGTGCTTCTGATGGCCTTTCATACTTCACACAATGCTGCTCTGTGCCCCAGTTCATCTGAGGCCAGCCTCTCCCCCAGCAGCTTCCCACGGTGGCAGGAAGGTAGCCACAGGGTGCTGGCATCCTCTTCTCCACCCCACATTTGACAGCACAGTAGAAGGGACACAGTTCCCTCCAAGCTTCTTGAGAACCTAAGGGCAACCTCTACCCCACACGACTTCCGTAGTTTAGGCCTAGAATACTGCCCCCCAAATTCCATATGCTAAAGGCCTGGTTGCAGATTTGTAAAGACTTAACCAGGGAGGGCCTGATGGGAGGTCTTCTGGTCACTGGGGGGGTCTGCCCTCCAAGAGGGTTGTAGAACCCCACTCTCTCCCACTCCTTGGCTGTGAGGTGAGTGGTTTTATCCACCGTGCGCCCTGTCTGTGGTGTGCTGCCGGACCCAAAAGCAACAGGCCCCACTGAGCACCGGAAGAAACCTCCAAACTCGTGAGCCCAAATCAGCTGCTCCTCTTTAATAGTTACTATTCGTCATAGGCACAGGAAGCCAACAAACACCCTCCAAGAGAGTGCCAGCCCATAATCTCCACTCCCTCCAGCCATCCTGCCTGTCACCGATAGGCCATAGACGATGCTTGGATGGGGGGCAGGGTGTCAGAGTGGGTAGGAAAGGAAGGAAAAGCTGGTGGCTGTGGCTGCCGTATGAACCAGGAGGCACCAAAGACACCAAACCAAGTTATGGCCAGAGCAGGACCCCACACTGGGCCCCAGGCCGCACCTCAGACCTCAGTGGGAGAGCTCAGAGGTCACAGCTCCTCCTGACCAGGCTGGTGGTGAGAAATGCACCAGGAACAGCAGGGACAAGGAGCAGGCAGCTTCTTTCCTGGTCACTGGAGCAGGAATCTTAACAGGTCTTACTAATGAAAATAAACCCGAAGCCAGGTATTGGGGTGAACGCTGAAAGATCAGAGAAGCAGCACAAGCCACAGCTACCTCACCTTGCTAATTCCTCAGCTGATCTGGTTTCCTCAGACTGGAAGCCTCTGAGTCTTCATCCAAATGGATCTCAGCTGAACTGCTGCTCAAAAGCCTGAAGCTTAACCAGCCTACTTCCTGGTCCTCATGCCTTATATACCTTTCTACTTTCTGCCATCACTTCCTGGGATTAAAGGCTCACTTCCTGGGACTAAAGGCGTGAGTCACCATGCCTGGCTGTTTCCAGTGTGGCTTTAAACTCACAGAGATCCAGATGGATCTCCGCCTCCCAAGTGACAGGATTAAAGGCGTGTGTGTCACCATTTTCTGGCCTCTATATCTAGTGGCTGTTCTGTTCTCTGACCCCCAGATAAGTTTATTAGGGTGCACAATATTTTGGGGAACACAATATCACCACAGGTCACCTCCTTGGGTACCACAGATGACTGGACACAGCTGCTGCCTCTCTTCCTCCCTCTTCCCATGCTTCCCAAGCTGCCACAAATCAAAGTGTCTTCTGGGCCTCTCCCTGTGTGTAAGGAAAAGTACTCCCTTCATTACAGTGGTCTCCACACAGACAACAGCAAGCAGACATTATGGTAGTGTCCTCACATTGCACCCGTTTTGGAATGCCCTGGTTTCCACCATGGACGACTTAGGCCCAAATGAGCTCATTAGGGTGAAAGCCAAATTAGACTCAGGCTCCGCCACCCCCGAGAAAGACTCTAGTCTTTCTGTGCCTCGGTATCCTTCATCATAGAATGGGAATTCTAATTCTGTTCATGTCACAGAGTTGCTTTACAGGATTTACTGAGCTGGCATTTACTTAGAAGCCTGCCCCGTGCAGAATGAACAAATACCCTTGTGTGCTAGCCGCCGCCGCCGCCGCCGCCGCCGCCGCCGCCGCCGCCACCACCACCACCACCACCATGGTCACTTTCATTAGGACCCCCCCTCCCACCCCGCCTCTGGCTTTTTAAATCTTGATCTTCACTCAGATGGTAGATGCAGGAAGATGGGGAGTTCAAGGCCAGCCTCTGCTATATGGTGTGTCTGATGCCAGCGTTCCATGAGACCCTGTCTCAGAACCTTTAAGAGTTACTCTCCCCAAACTGGAGCCTGTTGGTCTCTTGGAGTATCTCGTCCTCATACTCCACATCATGTCTCAAAGCCAAAGTATGATTTTTCTTCTGCAAACTCCTAGATCCTCTTTTGTTCATGGTACCTTATGACCCACCCCCAATAACTGATATATTTTCCCCTGCATAACAGGCAACATATCCTTTATTCAGCTGGGAGTTTAGAAACAATGGCTGTTCTTTCACTCATGATGGCACCATTAATGGTAATGTGTCCCCCACCTTGAATTTTCTGTTCACAATGTGTGTGTGGCAGAGCTACAGCTGAATTGTTTGACACTAAATCCAGGATCCTCTCTGAAGCCCACCTGCCACACACACACACACACACACACACACGCACGTGCGCGAAGACCCAGGAGAATATAAACCTGGGGAAGAGCTAGTGATGCCCAATTGAGAGTTGAGAGGCGGGGTCATTTTCCTGTGACTTTTCCACTTTCTCTCACCGAGGGGGTACTCTAGGACTGACCGCTGGAACTCCTTAGTAAGTCCTGCTGGTCTCAGGAAAAGCTCTAGGACAATGTGGGAAGACACTTAGGAGACACTGTTGACTTGATGGCTTTTTTAAAATTGCATTTTATTTATTTACTATGTGTGTGCGTGTACACATGTGTCAACGGCACACCTGTGCAGGTGAGAGGACAACTTTCAAGGGTTGGTTTGATCCTTCTGCTATGTGGGTCCCCTGGGATCAAACTCAGGTTGCCAGGCTTGGCAGCCAACGCCTTTATCTGCTGAGCCATCCTGCCAGCCCGCCTTGCTGACTTTAAAAATAAGCTGTAATAAATTACGCACAATAGTATTTGGTTTCATGGAAAAATATATAGACACCAAAGAGACTAGAAGGGTATGCATTTAGCGTTGACAATGAAAATTTTAATGTTTTAATATTATTGTCTTTGAGTGTTCACCAACACAGGCATGGGCATGGCACAGTGCGTGTGTGTAGGTCAAATAGCAGTTATTAGGAATTGGCTTTTCTCTTTTCAGCAGAGTTCTTAGGGATCAAACTCAGGTTGTCAGGG